AACCCATCACTTCCAAGTTGCCTCCTGATCTGGCATGCATCACCATTTTTAGTAGAGCCAAAGCTGAGATTTTGCAGTATTTAAAGTAATGGTGACTACAAAACAAAATCATGGTGTAATTAAATTTCTTATATAGAGTACAATTTCAAAAGACAGTTTTTGTGAAGATAACAAGTACTGAAGGGATTTACAGAAATGAATGTGGGAAGAAAAAGGAAGTAGAAAAGGAGTTTCTACAGGGCACCAGAAATAATAAACAGGTCATAGTCCTGTACAGTATTCCCCTGTGGGGGAGGAGAGAAGTCTGAAATAGTTTTTAAATATGTTTAAGAGGGAAAAACATACTTTGAGTAGGCTTTTTCTCCCTTGACTTGGAATCAGCATATTTCTGATTCTGACTCTGGTTGGAATGGTTGTGTCTAACCCTTCTCAGGTGTACCTTCTAGCTTAATGATTATGAATGTGGATTCTAACATCCACCCTAATTTTTGCACTGCCATGCTCTAGCTGTGGTGCTGTGCCAACCACTTAATGTTTGTGCCTCAGTTTTCTTATTTGTATTTCATAGTTGTTAGGATGAAAAAAAGTGTATAAAATACTCAAATTAGTGCCTGACATATACTAAAACCTTAAGTGCTGTTATTAGCATTGTGGTACTCTTGAATAGTTTGTTGAAAGGTGTGGTCTCCCTCTGTGATATCAGCCTCCAAATCAAAACATAGCCCTAGTGTCCTTACTTCTCCTATGACCACTATTCTAGAATTTGTCATCATTGGATATGAATAAATTCTTGAATAAAAAATATTTTGATATCGCTGATGCAGCTGAAATGAGTATGAGAACCACAGTGAGACAAGCTGATATTTTCCAAATAAACTACATCTACCTAAAATAGAAGATCCTGCCATAGGAGTAAGGAGATAATCAGGCAATCTAACCAGATTGTACAGAGCAGTCAGTAAATGTCTCTTAAGAAGACTTTGAAGATGCCTGCTCCAAGAAAACAACCAAGTTTAATTCCCAACCTTTGCCAGATTTCAACAACAAGCTGAAAGATATGGAGACCTGGTATTGGAAGTCAAGACATAAAATTTTGACTCCACCCTTTACTGGGGAAAAGATGGGGGGGAAGATAATAGTTAATATGCTCCCATTACATAATTCTAGATCCTTTTAATTTATAAATTCATCTAATCTTCATGACATCACTAATAGGTAGGTTTCATTTCTATATTATAGATAAATGAAGATGGATAAGTTGGTTTCCTAAGGTCAACTAGTTAAGTGGCAATTGTGAGATTTGGTCTTAGGTCTATTGCTCATTTAAGAGTTCACTATCTCAGTATGACCAAAAAGTAAGTTTCTTATGTATTTTCTTATTTGCAAAAAAGGAATGAAAATACAGTATTGGGTTGTCATGCAGATTAAATGACATGAAAATCCCTAGCTCAGTGCCTGGCTCATATTAAATACTCAATAAACATTGCTAAAATTGAATACGTGGACAATTAACTAACTCTGAAAAAAACTGTGAGGCTGATAAAGTATGTTCTGCTGTTGACCACATTTCTCCTATCTCTTCATAGATCGGGCCCTTTGTGGTCTTTTTTACTCTCTCCCTAATACAGTGGGGTGAAGAACCCTTTCCTGACTTGTCATTATTTCCAGGGACACATGGATTTTAGTAAGAAGCAAAGAGCCTTAAGCTCTATTTTTATAAATAGTGGCTTAGGTGAACTGATGAAGCAACATTTTAGAGGCTGGGTAGAGACTGTGTGTCTCTGAAATAATTACCAGCAATCAAAAACGATATTATAGGTCTCTTTTCATTTTTGAGACCCTTGGCCTGGTAACTTGATTTCAACTGCAATCCCCAGTTTGGGATCAGCTGAAGGCCCCCAAAAGATGCATGATGACACCTGGTTCAAGGTAGAGTGTATGGCATATGTGAAAAGATGTTGAAAAGTGTCAGTTTAAAGCACCGCTTGTTCTTCATTTACATCCTCTAGTAGTAAATGGATTAAAGAAAGGAGAGTCAAACAGCCCCTCGAGGAGAGGCTTAGGCCTTACTAAGAAGGATAAAGATAGATACAAAGCTCTCATTCTATTCTCCACTCTCCCCTAAAAAAAAAAAAAAAAAAAAAAAACAAGCTCTCCACCCGCTTCGAATCCCACTCTCCCTGGGTCTCTTAAATTCCCGCCATCCCGTCCCTCCCCTGCGTCTCGCCAGGGACCTCCTCACTCCTTAGTCCAGGGTTTCGCCGCCAAGATTTCTTGCTGCTGTTTTTTGTCGTATTTGTAGATTTCATCAATACTCTGGGCTTCTTGCATGTTGTTGGCCAATTCCCAGGTTTTCTGGGCCATACCGCTCCCGGACGCCGCCATCGCCGAGGAATCGGAGAAGTTGTCACTTCCACAACCAAAACGCAACTTTACTTCACTGGGTTTTCAGGTGTGGGCTTCAGACCTTCCCCACCACGGGTGCAAATTCTTACTAGATTCTCAGGGCATCCATGACACCTAACACCGGAGGTGAGGTCGGCACATACCATTCGGAATGGCAGGGGAGACAAGTGTCTCTTTTGAAACAGGACTATGTAAAAAGCGATTATTTTAAAAATTATGGAGAGAGGAAGTCTTGTGGTTGAAAGGAGAAGTTACTGTCTAGGAAAACTGTGTGAATTATGTGTGAATTAGGACAAACACAATGATTCTATTTGAGAATGGTACAGCCTTCCTCACCGGAAGAAGGGCTTGTAACGTTATGCCAGAAACTGGATTTGGCCGTCTCAGTTCTATTGCGCAGGCTCGGCCTCCGCCGTAGGAAATATGGGTGGAGCTTTAAGCTGGGAAGCTGGTGAAAGTGTTTTTGTGTGGGTGTAAGGTACCTTAAGTAAAATAAGTTCTTTGAAAGACTGAAAAGTAAGAATGCCTTTGAAAAACGAAATGGAAGTAGTTCTGGATTCTAGTTCTGGAGAGGAAAGACAAACATGTCATTATGTTTTAAGATGATTCACTGCACATGCGTAAAATGGGCTCGTAAAATCCCCTGGCCCCTAGCTTTTAGATGAGCTTTCGCTAGTGATCGAAGGAGGTAATGAAAACTCATGGATTTCTAAAGTCATGGTTTTTTTTTTTTTTTTTTGTGTTTTTTTTCCACGTGTTTAGAAAACTTTATAAATTGTGATCTATTGGTGTTCTGAAAATGTCCAGTACTTAATCTTTTTAGTATTGGGGATTGAACCCTAGGGGCTCTTTCCCTCCAGCTACCACCCCAGTCCTTTTTATTTTTCACTTTGAGACAGGTTCTCTCTGAGTTGCTGAGGGTCTTGCTAGTGTGCTGAGGGTTGGCCAAAGTTGGGAGTCTGTGCTTCATGAATCCTTCCCACGCGCATGCAGCACCATGCAGGCTTCCAGTTTTCCTAGTTTTTGTTATAGGTTACAGTTTGGTCTTTAACAGCCTTACGAATTACCTTTGTCCCCGGGTAGAATTAATCTGACCAACCTTTTTTGTTTCCTACAGCAGCTAATAGAAAGCTTGTTTAGTTTGTTAGTTTGTTTTAGGTATTGTACTCTCATCCCTCCATCAGCGCTAGATTCTGAGTTTCAAGACATGGTCAAGGTCTGTGTTCATTGTTTTATCACTAACTACTAGGATGTTTTGGATACAAATTTTGCTGGGAAAAAGCATCACAGCTATTCATAACGGGATCCTTTTATACCTCTCCAGCTTCTTTTAGTACCCACTGAAGCTTTTCATTCCGTCAATGCCAGTACCTTCTCTTTGGCTTAGCAATATAGTTGTGTTCAGCATTGTTTGAAATGCTCTTCCTTTTCTGTCTGGGAGATATTAATCTTTAAAACAACTTAGAGATCTCAATCTAGGAACTCTTTCTTTCCAGTAATCATTTTAATCACAGTGTCTCTAAGTCTCTGTAGTTGCCTCTATAACTGCTTTGTAAGGTATTTGTTTACATGGAGGTTTTCCTTTTCACTGTATGCTTTGCGTTGTATCCTCCACTTCTATTGTGTGATGTGTGGTGGATAGTTGAAAACAAAATTGACTTTACATCGCAGCCTGAGGTTTTGACATTTTAAAATCACCTTTTGAAAGTAAGTCAGGATAAATTAGGGTCCTATGATACATTAATACCATTAGTTCCACTCTCCTGGGAAGCTAGATATCTCTTTTCTAGTCATACATGTAGCCAGTCAGGATTGGGGTGAACTATGTTGCATGTTGAAAGGATAATGAAAGCCCAGGACACGACGTTTACCACCTGGACTAGGACTAAATCCTTGGAAAGCTATGTCAAGAGTTTTGCTCTCTCTGCCTTTCAGACATTGATACTGTTCCTTGACCTGACTAGCTAGCTCATGGGGTAGGGGAAGGGTGGTTTAGAAAGTCTGTAATGGATTTAGTCTTGGAAGTGGCGCCCACGGTTTAAAACAGACCCTGAGCATAGCAGGGGAACCTTGATGGCATTGTCTGCAGCCAGGGTACAGGCAAGCCTTGCGAACATCCAGCGAGTTGTGCAGCCTCCGGGACGGCAGGGGGCGACGTCGGCCGCGCGGTGTCCCCCTGCGGCGCCAGTGGAGGCAGGGCCGCGCAGGGCAGTTGGCGAAAGGCGTGAGGAGGGCTGGGCCAGAGAGGCGGAGCCTGGGTCAGGCGGCCTGTCACACAGTTCCCGCGCCGGGTGGTCGCCACCGCTTCTTTGGTCTACAGAGAGCCTCGCTGGAGCGTTGTGCATCTACCCGGACGCGAGCCCGCTCTCCTGAGTAAGAGTTCTTCGGCTGCGGGTGGAGAGCAGGCCCGGCGGGGTGTGACCTGGGATGGGGTGAGAGGGTTCCAGGGCTCGGTTCGCGGCTCCGGGGGGCGGAGGTCGCGTGGCAGCCTGCTGTCGAAGCCAAAGTTACTGGGGCTGAGGTGGGGGTTTCTTTCCGGGTAGGGGTCTCGAACCTGCTGGGTGGGACGGGGGAGGTGATCCTAGTTACAGATATGGGGGTTTGGGGTCTCGCGGCCGCCAGGCGGGGCGGCGGTGACGGGGTCTGGGGTGTTGGGGGCGGGGGTTCCCTCACGGTGTGTCTTGTGGCTATTGGGCGGGGGTGGTGCTCGAGTTACCGGGCCCCCCTTCGGGCTGGTGGCAGCCGGTCAGGGGGCGGTACCCAGGTTACAGGGGCGGGGGTTCCCTGTGGGTGAGGGGCTCGCAGCTGTCGGGGGCGGGGCGGTGCCCCGCCTACGTGGTCCTAATTCCGAAGCCCTCGCGGTTGCCACCGCTGCCGCCTCAGGTGTTGTTGCCAGCCGGTTGCCTGACAACGCATTGACGCTTTCTAAATAGTCAGCCACCCCTAGCACCTGGAGACAAACTGTGCTAAGCCTTCGCTCCCGTGCATCCTCCCTCCTTGGAGGCCTGGTCTCCTGAGTTCTGCTAAACTTCCCTGGGCGCCTTTCCTCCTCCGGGCTGGGCTTGTTAATGTTTAACGTTAGAGTGCTTGTGCGCCAAGGCACTGTTCCCAGAGCTTTGCAAGTAAAACTTAATCTTCACCATATCCCTGTGAGGTTGGTGCTATTATTATCACCTCCATCCCCCTCACCCCCATGTTTACTGGGCAGCTTGAGCTTGAACCTCTTCTGATTGTAGTATTCTTATATGGAAATTGAATACAGTTTTCATTCAATGCTAGCAGTGGGACTCATCTTTTGAGAGAGGCTGGCCATCAAAGATTATAGAATTAAGAAGCTTAACCAGGATTTCGGGGAAGACCAAATTCTGAAGTAAGCTACCATCCAGTTTTCAAATGCAAGATGTCTAAAAAGGTTGTAAAAGCAACTTTAAATAGATAAATATGAGTTGGTAAAAAGCCTCATTTATCCTGAGAAGTTCTTGTTTTCACTGTGAAAGAATGGCTTTCTCGTTGACAAGTAATAAAGGAATCTGGTGGAAACCAGTAAGATGCTTTCTTCATATCATTCTTCTCTGACTTTCTGGTGGTTAAATATCTGCCGAAATGCTCCACAGGGAGGACATTTTGGATCTCTTGCAGCACTGATGAATTGGGAGGGAGCACTTGTGAGTTTACACATCAGGTTATCTTTTTGATATCATTCTGACATACTTTGTGATATACCTCCGTGAGTAGTAAGCAAAGTTGTTTGAGCAAGTGTTTTAGCAATTTTGTGTAACCCAAAGGCTATGTAATGTATGCTACTGACTTATTCATGTTGAAATGATAATGAAATTTACTAATGTAAATTTATAATACATCATTAATATATTCTAAAAGACTTCAAAATGGTTTTATGTATTTATTCTCTTTGTATCCTGTCCTGCAGCTTCCCTTTTTGTCCCCAACAGCATGGCATTTACTTCATAAAACATTGAGAGGGATTTGTCAAAATTCGAGTGTGCCCATTGAAGTAAATTACTTACGTGAATGTCATCTGCCAGAAGAAAAAGATTGAGAACCTTTCATTTGGTGGAAAGACCCTTGGTAGGTAAGTGAGAAACATTGTCCTGGTCACCTCATCCCACTCTCTTTTATCTAGAGCTTTTTCACAGTGTCTGTTCTTACCTGACATGCCTAAATGTTATCATTCCCTGAGAGTCTTTGGTTCTGTTTTCATACTGTAGGGTCTCTTTTGTCAGGCAACCTTTTTTATCCCAGTGTAGTTTTGCAAATCAAAACTGCATTGAGATTCCATCTCACCTCTGGCAGGATGATGGTGATATTATTATTTTAATTTTTTTATTATAATGGTACCTATTAATTGTGCAAAATAATGGTATTTAATACATGTTTATAATTCACTTTGATTGTATTCATCATCTCTATCTCCCACCCTTCCCAAACAGTCCCCTTTCTGCTTTCATCCCCCACCCCTCTCTGATAGTACATATGAGAAAAAACATGACACTTAATTTTCAGAGTCTGGTTTGTTTCCCTTAACATTACCATTTTTCAGTTCCATCCATTTTCCTGCATATGACATGATTTTATTCTCCTTTATGTGGATGTACACACATCCACTGTATACATATAGCACATTTTCTTTATACATTCATTTGTTAATGGGCATTCAGGCTGATTCTGTAACTTGTCTGTTGTGACTAGTGCCTTGATAAACATGGGTATGCATGTATTGACTTTGATTGTTGCAGATATATACCCAGGAGTGGTATAGCTGGATTATATGATAGTTCTATTTTTAGTTTTTTGAGGACCTTGTTACTGTATTCCACAGTGGCTGTACTAATTTACATTCTCATCAACAGCATTTAAGGGCTCCTTTTTCCCTAAATTCTCACCAGCATTTATTTTTTTCTTGATAATGGACTTTCTGACTCGGGTAAGTTGGAATGTCAGAGTAGTTTTTGGTTTGTCTTTCCTTGATGGCTAAAGATGTCAACCATTTTTTCATGTGATTTATTGGCCATTTTTACTTCTTTTGAAAAGTGTCTGTTCAGTTCTTTTGGTTATTTATTAATTGAATTGCTTTTCTGTTAAATTTTTTGACTTCTTATATTCTGGCTATTCTCTTTCACATGAATAATTGGCAAAGATTTTCTACCATTCCTTTGGCTATCCCTTCACACTGTTGATTATTTTCTTTGCTGTGTAGAACCTTTTTAATTTTGTGTAATCCCATTTGTCAATTCTTGCTATTATTTCTTGAGTTATTTGAGTCATGTTCAGAAAATCATTGCCTATACCTGAAAACTGAAGTGTTTTCCTGTAGTACTTTCAGTTTCAAGTCTTATAATAAGGTCTTTGATTCTTTTTTTTTAAACTTTTTTAGTTGTTAATGTACCTTTTATTTATTTTTTTTTTACATGTGGTGCTGAGGTTTGAACCCAGTGCCTCACACATGCTAGGCAAGCGCTCTACCGCTGAACTACAACCCCAGACCAAGGTCTTTGATTAATTTTGAGTTGATTTTTATACAGTGAGGGATGGGGATTGTTTTAATATTCTACAGATGTATTTCTAATTTTCCCAGCATCATTTTCTGCAGAGGCTGTCTTTTCTCCAACATGTGTTTTGGTTCTTTTGTGGAGAATTAGATAGTTGTAGAGGATTCTTATTTCATTGGTTCATGTGTTTATTATGCCAATACCATGCTCTTTTTGTTTTGTTATAGCACATTTATAGCATATTTTGAAATTGGGTATTGTGATGCCTCTGATTGTTCAGGATTGCTTTGGCAACTTGGGAATTTTATGTTTCATATGAATTTTGGGATCTTTTTCAAGTTCTCTAAATAATATCATTGGTATTTTGATGGGGATTGTATTGAATCTGTAGGTTGCTTTTGCTAGTATGACCATTTTAACAATCCACGAATATGGAAGGTGTTTACATCTTCTAGTGTCTTTAGTTTCTTTCTTCAGTGTTTTATAATTTTCATCATAGAGGTCTTTCACCTACTTAAGTTTATTTCTGGGTATTTTATTGTTAATATTTTTGCAGCCATTTCCTCTTGATTTTTTTCTCATTAAGTTCATCGTTGATGTATAGGAAGCTACTGATTTTTTGTATATTCAGTTTGTGGTGTATTACATTTATGTTGAACATATTTGCATATGTTGAACCAAGCTTACTTATATCCTTGGGATGAAACCAGCTTGATCATGGTGTATCATCTTTTTCTAAAAATATTTAGGTGGACACAATGTCTTTATTTTATTTTTATGTGGTGCTGAGGATCGAACTCGGTGCCTCACATATGATAGGTGAACACTCAACCCCTGAGCCACAACTCCAGCCCCTGGTGTATGATCTTTTCAGTGTGCCGTTGAATTTGATTTGTGGGAATTTTGTTGAGGATTTTTGTATCTTTGTTCATCAATGACATTGGTCTGTGTTTTTTTTGTTGTTGTTGTGACCCTATGGGTTTAGGTAGTAGGATAATGCTGGCTTTGTAAGATGAGTTTGGAATAGTTCTTCCCTTTTTATTTTATGGAATAGTTTGAGGAATTTTGGTATTAGTTCTTTAAAAGCCTGGTAAAATTCAGTAGTGAATCTGTCTGGATCACTTTTCCTTGTTAGGTGACTTTTTATTACTACTTTTATCTCATAGCTTGTTATTGATACTTGTAGACTTCCTGTATCCTGCTTTGGTTTTGGTAGATCATATATGTCTAGAAAATTGTCCATTTCTTCTAGATTTTCCAATATATTGTAATTTTTCAAAGTGTTTACTAATGACCTGGAGTCCAGTAATTACTGTTGTAATATACACTCTTTCATCTCTGATTTTATTGGAGTCTTCTCTCTTTTTTTGCTTAATTTGGCTAAGGGTTTGTCAATTTGGTTTATCTTTTCAAAGAACCAGCTCTTTTTCATTGATCCTTTTTATTGTTTTAGTCTCTATATTTGCTTCAACTAATTTCTAATTTTGGGTTCCATTTATTCTTGCTTGTTTTTTTTTACCTTTTTATATTTTTTTAGTTGTCCATGGACCTTTATTTTACTTAGTTATATGTGGTGCTGAGAATGGAACCCAGTGCCTCACACATTCTAGGCAAGTACTTTACCACTGAGCTATAACCCTACCCCTTTTGCTTGCTTTTGGATTCCATTTCATTGTAATATCATTCTCCATCATTTTACTTTCAGCCTATTTGTCTTTGTAGTGAGGTGAGTTACAAATAGCAAACAGATGTTTTTTAATCCAGCCAGCTAGTCTTCATTTTTTTAAATTGAAGAATTCAGACCATGAATATTCAGTATTATTATTGAAAGACATGTACTAGTTCCTGTTATTTTATTGTTTTTCTTCTGAGAATTCTGTGTTCAGTTCTTCCTTATTTACCTTAAGGGGTTTGATGGTTTACTGTTATAATCATATTTGCTTTGTTTTTCTTCTAGTGAGATTTATTCTTTCATGTGCTCTTGAGGTTGTATTTTCTTGCTTTCTCAGCTGGGTATATGATTCCTTTGAGTGTCTTCTGTAATGCTGGTTTAATGACCATGAATTATTTTAGTTTTTAAAAGAATTATTTAGTTTATAAAAGAATTCTTTAGTTTATTTCTTGGGAAATCTTTATTTCTCCAATTCTAAAAGATAACTTTGTCGGATATAATAATAATCTAGGCTGGCAGTTATTTTCTTTTAGGGCTTAAAATGTATCTTTTCATGCCTTCCTGGCTGTTAGAGTTTTGGCTAAGAAATCATTTTGTTTTGATGGTTTTGCCTTGATAAGTGACTTGGTGTTTTTCTCTTAGAGCTTTTAATATTTTTTCTTCTCTATTTTTAGCATTTTAAATACATATTATGTTCTGAAGAGGTTCTATTTTGGTTATTTGGGGTTCTAAATGCCTCTAGTACCTGGATGTTCATATCATTCCCCAGATTTGGGAAAAATTTCTTCTATTATTTCACTGAGCAGGTTTTCTGTACTATTAGCCTGTAGTTCTGCTCCTTCCTCTAGATCTATGAGTCTTAAGTTTGTTGTTTTAATTTGCCCAGAGTATGTTCTACTCATAGATTCTTATTTTCTTTTTACTTAAATTACTGTCTAAATGAGGCCAGTCCCAGGTATAAAACTTATGTCCCAGCTCGATATGCAGAGCCCAAGTCTCTTGTCTGCTCAGATTGCATATTTGCAGGGTAGCAGACTGTACTCCTGGAGATATTTCAACCTGCTGAAGGTGCCCTTCTCCCTGCTGTGCCACCTTGGAGCTCAGTGTTAGTGTACTCTTATTCTAAATATCATTATTGCTGGGTTTCACATGGTCACTAACTCTCCACAATTGCACTTCAGTGTTTTCCTATGGGTCCCCCACCTCAACATGCAGCTGCATACCATTCTTGTTTTAGTTCAACCTCATGGAGCAGCAAGTAAGTCTGACTGTTTCCAATCTGCTATCTTCCTCTTTCTAATATCTCTGATGATCAAATACTGCTAAATCTTTATGTCCAGACTGGATTCTGTTCTGAGTTCCTTGTGTATTCAGTTTTCTTGATATGTCCACTGGATCCATTAGGGGTAGGTATGTCATATCCAAATCTTAAACCCCAGTCTGGCTAGACTGTGAGTCTCTGTGACAAGGGACATTAGCTAATCTCAACTTGAAGGCAAGGGTCATGCTTTATTCTTTTTATCCTCCCAGCATACAGCATAATGACCTGCTTTAGGAGTGTAGAAGGGAGAAAATGTGTACTTTATTCCTTCAGAGGGATAATGATAGGAGCTACATCCCACCTCCCCACCTTTGTGATTGGTGAAATTGGGAGAAGGAATTGGATATATTCAGTTTCTCTTCTGGGTCCTTCTATTTATGATTTCCCTAGACTTAGCAGAATGGTAAGTTATGATCTGCTTATATTTTAATCTATATTATAAGCATTTCCTAAACTTACAATTTAGAGGTGATGGTTTGGATTATGATAACCTAGTATCAATTTTTGGTGATTTAAATTCTAGCATACCATTTTTGTGGTATTGGGGATTGAATCCAGTGTTTCACACATGCTAGGCAAGTGCTCTACCAGTGAACGACGTCCCCCTACCCAAATTTCAGCATACTTTAAGCTTGGAAGCTGCTTCTTTCTTTCTTTCTTTTTGTTCTGGGGATTGAACCCAGAGTCTCAAGCATCTTAAACATGTACTCTACTGCTGAGCTACATCCCCCCAGCCTCGAGACTTTTTTTTTCCTCAAAAGATAAGTATGTTTATACATACAAAGACTATGGCAATATAGCAGTAATTGATGATAACTGATGTGTTGATTTCTAAGTGTCAGATTCTGTGTTTGGCATTTTGAAACATTTTCCTTTTTACTTCATAACTCTGGAATAGGTAGTATTTCCTCTTTATAGATGAGGAAGTACTCTTAAGTATAGAGAGGCTAAGGAATATATTTGACATCAGTCATATAGAATTATGTGAAATGTATTCAGCACATTCATTGTGGTGAATGTTCATAGCATTATAATTGCTTAGCCATTGGATGATAACATTTGTTAGTGGAAATTGGAAGATTTATTTGTGAAATTCTGCAGAATTCATTTTTCTATTTCCAATATTTGCTGAAGTTAAATAAAAATTTTCAAGCCATAAAAAAAAGAATTATGTGAAATGTATTTCAAATCTTAGTCCTTCAGTGAAACTGAAAACTGTTATGTACATATAGTGTATATATCTACTGAGGGGAAAAGACCTGTGTAAAATAAATAGTTGTGAGTGATTTTACATTGTAGGGTGTCAGGAAGATTAAGAATCCATTTAGGTTTCTTTCAGCTGATTTCTCTTGAAACTTAATTTTACTGTATTTTGTATTATTGAAGGATATATCCACCAACCCAGTCTGTTATTCACTAAGTAATTTAGGAATAAATTTTATAGTTGAAGTAGTTTTATGTAAGTTTTTACATGCTCTTATGAATAAGAAAGAGAAATAGTTATGACAGCTGGAAGTTGGCCAGATGTATTGCTGGGGCATTGGTGTTGCTAGGAACTGGTCTGGTACTTAAAGTAACTTGGTATCCTGATGAAGATATACAGTTGTACAGAACATCAACATCAGATAAGACTACTCTGTGCCTATGATGGTTCAAGACAAATATTCCATGTCCAAATACATAAACATTGTCTAAGCCACAAAATTCTAAACATCCCCTCTCCCAGCTGATAGGAATGACTTCTGCTTTTTTTTTTTAAAGCCAGTTACAGCTTTAGCCTAACCTATAGTTAAGTGTTATTAAGATGTCCAATTATAGAATTACTCCCACTTGCTGACAATAGAGCTCTGCTTCTTTAAACCTTCTTGTAAATCACTCAACACAAGCCCCAATCATATAAGTCTTTTTCAGTTCCTGCTTACACAGATACCCGGGTGTTGCTTATGGTGTATGTTCTTTTGCATTTCTCAATGTGGCAAGTTGCTAATTCAGCTTATTTAACTATAGTGGTCTTTCCCCAGCACCACCCAGAAAACAAAGATATTGAACTTCGACCCTTCCAATTCCCCAAACTTGAATTTAAATGGTTCATAGACTTTTTAAAACTGTAAAAAAAAAAAAAAAATCTAAAAGAAAACAGAAGAACCTATTTGTGATCTTGGGTTAGGTAAAGGAATCATAGCTATGACATAAAAACACAATGAATTGATTAAAAATTGAAAAAAATTCATAAATTTGGCTTGATAAAAATTAAACACTTGAACTGTTAAGGTATCATTAAGAAGGCTTAACAGACCAAAGACTGGGAGAAAATATTTACAAAACATTATTGATAATGGATTTATATTTCTGTAGTATATGAGAAGAAATCTTGTAACTCAATACTAAGACAACAACCTAATTTAAAAATGGGCAGGAGATTTGAATAGATATAGTGATATGTGCTTATATGAATGGCAAACAGACACACTAAATTCAAATTAAAACTAAATATACATACTACTGTCTACTCAGTAGAATGACTAAGATCAAAAAGAGTGGAAGTAACAAGCCTTGGTTAAGATGTGTAGAAATTGCAACCATTTCACATGACTGGAATTTAAAATGATATAGCCCCTATACTTTGAGGAACAGTTTATCTGTTCCTCAAAATGTTAAACAGCTCATATGACCCAGAAATTCTATGTATTTGTAGAAAAAAATTGAAAACATGTTCACATAAAAACCTGTACATGAGTGTTCATAGTAGTGTTTTCTACAAATAGCCAAAAAAATGGAAACAACTCAAATATCCAGCAACAGGTGAATAAAGTGTTGTGTTTCCATACAATGGACTATGACTTTAATAATAAAAAACAACAAACTATTTAAGATAGAAGCTACAAAGGTATCTCAGAAATACTAAGTGGAAGAAGCTAGATACAAAAGACTACATATTCCATAAGATCCTTTTGTATGAAATTTCCAGATTAGTCAAAACTATAGAGAAAAAAGAATAATTTCCTGTGTTGAGGGTAGGAGTGAGGAGTGACTGCAAAGGAGAATGGGGGAACTTCTTGGGGTGATGGAAACATGAAACATGATTGTGGTGATACTTGAACAACTGTATGAATTTACTAAAATTATTGGAACTGTTCACTAAAATGTGAATTTTATGGTATAAATTATTTCTCACTTAAGACAACAGCTTATGAACTTAAAAACAATGCTAGGATTTATTGAAAAAATTCATGGGGCTGGGGTTGTGGCCTCACACATGTGGGACACTGGATTCTATTCTCAGCACCAAATAAAAATAAATAAACAAAATAAAGACAAAAAAAGAAATTCATGATTCCACATTGATGATAAACCAAATGAATGGGATGAAAGAAGGGCTTATGATTATAATAGAATGATAAGTAAATGCTGACTGGTAAAATAAATGTGCAGGAAGTGGAGGAATTAAAAAATTAGCCTTTTGCAGCCATACAGGAAAAAAATTGGACCAATCAAGAACCACTAATATAAATCTTGGGGGAAGTTTTGATCAGGAGTAGGATATTTGCATGGTATAAAAGTATTCCCTTAGATGGCTTATTATTATTATAAGGGAGCAGTAGTACAGAAATTATACAATGTCTTGTCCAAGGTGATCAAATCAACCTCATTAATGAGGGGCAAGTAGATATCATGTGTCTGTTACAGATGAAACCTTGATCAAGACTCATCACCTCTTAAGTAGTATTCTTGCTGAGAGTGTATAACTTGGATTTAGTCATAAAGAAATGTCAGGCAAACCTCAGATGAGGATTGTTGTATTTAAAAAAGGTGGATAATGAATGGTTGTATTAAAAAATATTAATGACATAGGAAGTTTGTAAAGATGATCCAAAATAAAGAAGGCTAAGGAGGTATAACAAGGAAATGGAACCCCTAAACTAGACTGAATCCTGAACTGGAAAGAGAAAAATATGCTGTAAAGGCCATTATTGGGCCACTTAATTGGAACATGTATAAGAGGTTAAATTTTTTTTTTTTAAATTAAATTAAAAAATTAAATTTTTTTTTAAAATTTTTTTGAAGTTAGTGAATTATGTTGAAGCTATGTAAGAAAATAGCCCAATTTATCTTTTTTTTTTTTTTTTTTTCCTGTACTGAGGATTGAACCCAGGGGTTCTTTACCACTGAACTACATTGCTAGCTGGTTTTATTTTTTATTTCAAGACAGGGTCTAAATTAAATTGCTTAGTCTAGCATTGAACTTGGTGATGCTATTGCCTGAACCTCCTTAGTAGCTGGGATTACAAGTGTATTCCACTGGGCCTGCCCCCCGCCCTCCCTCCTCTTTTTTTTTTTTTTTTTTGTGTGGTGCTAGGGATGGAACTTAGGGCCTAAAAATGCTAGGCAGGTGCTTTACCACTGAGGTACATCTCCAGCCCTGACCTAATTCTTAATAAATATGCACCATAGGGTTTAGGGGCAAAGGGCTATGATATATAAAATTCACCCATGAATAATTTTAGAAAAAAATTGTATAGAGAAAATGACTTTGTGGGAACAAGCAGAGGATAAAGGAAGTAGGCAAAATTTTACCAATAAGAGAACTGATAAAGACGATCTGGGTATTCTTGGTATTTTTGTAACTTTTCTGTAAATTAGAATCTCCAAATAGTTAGAGCACTTTACAAAAAAAAAAAAAAAAATTAAGGATTGACGTTTTCTTGCCTTTGTGTTTTTGATTGTCTTTGTGATGATGGTGATGATGGTTCATTTTCATATATTTTAAAATATTTCATAGGCTTTTCTGGAGAATTGGGAGATGAATCTGGCAAATTTATGATCGAGCTGAAGGTGGAAGTTCTCAATTTGGTAAATGAGATTGAACACTAAGTGTGGATTGTAGACCTTCATGATAATAGAGTAAAAATATTATAATACAGTTGTGCTCCTTGAAGAATTGTTATTTTTTTCCAGAAGCTGCAAAATGGCTGATAATTTGGATGAATTTATTGAAGAAAGAAAAGCCAAGTTGGCCAAAGACAAAGCTGAATTGGAAAGTGATCCACCGTACATGGAAATGAAGGTAAAATTAATTCTAAGGATTATACTTGTGTAATCCTGTGAGAATCTTCTGTTTCATATTTTAATTTGATTATGCTGTGTCATTCTAAATCTGAAAGCCCGACTGCAGACAGATTTCAGTAATATTTGAGGGCTGTTTTGTGATTTTTATCTCACAGTATTTCTCCTCTCGTTAAGAGTTTTAATGAATAATTACATGCTTCACAAGATGGTTAGAAGACAAGTTCTTGGACAGAGAACTTCCAGAATATAACCAAATTTAAAAGCAAGTTCTTGTTTTATGTGAAAAAGTTAAGATTATTTAATGAATTGATTAAAACAATTTTCTTTGAAATGTACAGGAGTGAATTTGTTAGGGTTGTTTACTTAGTACTATTTGCTTTTCTGAATATAAATTTGTTAAAATAATTGTTTCTGAAAGCATTGTCTATAAAGTTCTCAAGGTTTTTCTCATTTTGGTGAAAGATTGATTTATCCATTTAACAAATGTTTAATGAGATTGTGCCAGGTATTGTGCTATGCTCTGAGAATATTGTTCTAATCTAGAGAGATACAGCATCATCTCTCATGTATAGTTAATAAGATATAGCATATAGATTGGTCTGTGCTATATATTTTGCCCTAGTTGAGAGTGACCATACATTTTGGTTTGCCCAAGTGATTTTTGGCTGTGTCTTATCTGGTTTTGCATTCCTCCTGGACATGGTATCATGATTGAAATGGTAAATAATATAGGCACTCCGTTTATAATTTTACTTACATTGGGAATATTATATAGAGTGCTAACTATGAACAAGATATGTACTGTTATTTTAATTTTCTAGATGAGTGAACTGACATATTAGAAAGCTAAGTAATGAGACTAAAATGATGAAGGTTGGTGGAATAGGCTTTAATCCGAGGCAGCCTGACTCCAGTGCTTGTTCTCTAGGCCACCATGCTGGGTTGCCTTTTTTCCATAATCTGCCATGAATAAGCAAACAAGCTGTCATGCCAAAGACTTTTGCTTTTGGTGGTATTGAAGGTTGAACCCAGGATCTTGCACATGCTAGATATGTGCTCTTGCCACTGAGCTACATCCCAAGCCCTATGTATTTCATTTCTTTTAGTCATAACAACCCTGTAAAGTAGGGGGAAATTCTTTTATTATACACTTCAAGAAATAAAAGCTCAAAGCCATTAAATAATTTTCCAGGTACACAGTGGGGGATGCAGGATTGGAACTTTCATCCAAATCTAAAGTCTATGTTCTTCATCACTCTGTTGTACAGAGGGCTAATGTATGGTGTTTGGAATTATGTAGTTTGGGTGGTACATAGGTTTTAATACAGGTTATTATAATCTCTAATGTTAAATAATATATACATAATAATTTTAAGTATCAGTTCAAGAATCACCTGCTCATTGAGGCTTTGTAATCCTTCTCATAGCATTTCTGGGCCTCTTAACCTGGCTTTTTGTTTTTTTTTCCCCACCATAGCTCTTCCTTGTCACTCTTTACGTGTCACATAATATAATTATATATTACTTTATCATGTGTCTCCCTAACAGTTTATGCTTTAAAATGTCAGAAATTCTTGTATTATTTTTTCTCATATATTGTCAGTGCCTGGCACAATGCCTAGCATTTAACAGGAACTCAGTGAATATTTGTTAATAAGTGAATTAATTAAATATTCAAATATTTATTATAGTTTTTAAGTGATTTTGGCTTGTTTCTTGTCATACGCTTAAGTTTCTTCTCTGATGTACTGTGTAATTTTGTTGAGGCATTTAATATAAGTTTTGATGAATTTCATGTTTTCTGGGGTTCCTTCCTCCTACTGATTTGTAAATATTATGTCTTGTTTAGGGAAAGGCATCAGAGAAACTTTCTGAAAATAGTAAAATATTAATCTCCATGGCTAAGGAAAACATACCGCCCAACAGTCAACAGACCAGAAGTTCCTTAGGTATGTTATTAGATGTGCTAAACCCGTTTTAAGATACCTGTAGCAGGCATTCGTTAAAAAGTTTTGTCTTAAAAAAAAAAAAAAAAAAAGTTTTGTCTTGTCAGAAAAAAAGATTTTTTAAAAAAATCTTGGTAATTTTCCTTTGTGGATTCTTAACATGTGACATGATCTACATATGAAATATAATTCATACTGAGAAACTTGTATCTTCAAAAAGATATTGTCTTGGTTATGATTTATGGAAATCACAGTAGCAAGTTTTATTTTAACATAATTACAAATGAAAAATTTGAATGGAATTGTGTGAGAGAGAATAGGGAAACTATTATTTATGAAATGAAAATGGACTTTTTGGACTTGCTTTTGCTTAAAAGTCAAAGAAATATACTTAAAGGATGTAAAATGTTGTTTGATGAAAGACCGGCATTTAATTATTGATGACCTTATTGTAGTTGTAAAGGTGTTAACTATAGCTGGGCTGATTCTTTGATTATGGTTTGGTATAAAAATACTTTTTGGCTTGTTGGTAAGTATACTTTTTCTTTTTAAAGAAAATGTATGAATATTTTAAAAGTACATCTTTTGAATTATTGAAGATCACTGAAACTTTTTATAAAAACTCAAATATGATGAATTTATATGGTAAAAGTTTATATACATATTTTTGTTACTAGGGATTGAACTCAGGGTCACTCAACCACTGAGTCACATCCCATTCCTAGTTTGTATTTTATTTAGAGACAGGGTCTCACTGAGTTGCTTAGTGCCTACCTTTTACTGAGGCTGGCTTTGAATTTTTCATCTTCCTACCTCAGCCTCCTAAACTGCTGGGATAACAGGTGTGTGCCACTGTACCTGGCAAAAGCATTTATCTTACATGCACTATTTTTCATGACCTTAGATATTCTTCATAAATGTAGCTGCTTGGCCTTTGTATGCAACTGGATAAAAAGGATGCTGACTTTTTGTCTCTCTACCAGAATAACAGATCAAAATGAAAGCCCTATTTTTAGGATCTGTTATATAGATAATTCAGTTTTGAATCTTAGAAATTATTAGCTAATAAACAGATTTAGTAAATTAAAGTATTATATTTTGGTGAAATCCTTTAATCTCTAAGTCCCTCAATTTAACTATAAAATAAATTGGATTATCTTCTGGTCCTAAACTTTTATGAACTCTGAATTTGATTATTATAAGAGATAATTTTTAGAAAAATTTAATAGACTGTTCTTTCAAGCACTTGGGTCACAAAGGTCATATAGAATCACTTTGAAATTCTCAGGTTCCAGCTTGGTTTTAATTAGGCCATTGTGTCTTTGGGACCTGGCATGAGCTATTTATTTCCTTATTTTACTAATTGATATATCTTAAAAGGTTATATGGGCAGTAATTGAATACATGTGAAAAGAGAACCAATACATAAATGAACCATAATATGAATTTCCTTTCTTTTTTACATCTTTTTAAAGGTAGTTTTTGATTTTTGAGATTTATCTGAGGAATTTCAAAACTAATCTTTGAACATTACATTCACAAATATGGTGAGTTTAATGTATAACTTGAAGACAATGACCTCTGCCTATTTTTTTTAATCTTTTTTTTTTCAGTTTTTTAATATTTATTTTTTAGTTTTCGGCAGACACCACATCTTTGTTTGTATGTGGTGCTGAGGATCGAATCCAGGCCGCACGCATGCCAGGCGAGCGCGCTACCGCTTGAGCCACATCCCCAGCCCTCTGCCTATTTTTTTTAATATTTATTTTTTTGTTGTAGTTGGACACAATACCTTTATTTCACTTATTTATTCTTATGTGGTGCTGAGGCTCGAACCCAGGGTCTCACATGTGCAAGATGAGCACTCTCCCGCTGAGCCACAACCCCAGCCCATCTGCCTATTCTTTAATTGGTGTTGCTTAGGGTCTGACCTAGTCACTTGTCATACTTCATACAGTGCTTAAGTGACTATATCCATTCACAGCACTTTATTTACCATTAGTGTGTTCATGACTTCTAAGTCTGTATCCCAATTCCAGTTTCTATTATGAATTTGAGATAGAAATATATATTTAATTTCCTACTGGACATCTCTAGTGGGATGTCCTGGGCTCAAAATCAATAGGTATAAAATTAACTTACATCTCTTGTTCAACTCTCTGTTATTCTCCATTTCAGCAAACTGTCTGCTTAGTCATCCTTAAATCCTCTTTCTCTGTCTTCTTCATCAAGAAAATATACAAGCTAGTTGATTCTAATGTCTAAATCTCAAATAAGTTAACTTTTCTCTAACCCCACTGCCATTCTCTCACTCTTCTTTTTTTGGAATGCAGGATTCTTTACATCCCAGCCTGTTTTTTTTGGGTGGTGGAGGTGGTAACTGTGGATTGAACTCAGGGGCACTCTACCACTGAGCCACATTTTGTATTTTCTCTAGCCTTATTTTGTATTTTCTTTAGAGACAGTGTCTCACTGAGTTGCTTACCGTCTCACTTTTTCTGAGGTTGGCTTTGAACTTGTGATCCTCCTGCCTCAGCCTCCTGAGTGGCTGGGATTATAGGCATATGCGCCTGGCCATTCCCAGCTTTTTTATTTTATATTTTGAGACAAGGCCTCACTCATTTTCCCTGTCTGTCTTTGAACTTGAAATCATCCTGCCTCAGCCTCCTGAGTAGCTGGGATTACAAGTTTGCCATTATACTCAGCAGAAAAGAGGTTTTGAATGAATTAACATCTTCATTGCAAATATAAAGTCAGTTCTCTTGGCCTTGTAGAATTTGTACCAGGGATTGAACTCAGGGGCACAGGACCACTGAGCCACATCTCCAGCCCCCTGTTTTGTATTTAATTATTAGAGACAGGGTCTCACTGAATTGCTTAGCACCTTGCTGAATTGCTGAGGTTAGCTTTGAACTCTCAATCGCCTGCCTCCCAAGCCGCTGGGATTACAGGCGTGCGCCACCCCACCTGGCCGGCCTTGTAGAATTTGATTTTCATGATATGCCTTTTTAAGAATTGTCATTTGAAATAGTAATTATTTTTGACTCACATTGAATCTTATTAAATAAAAAGATAGTATTTGATTTTTTTTTTTCCAGACAGGATTTTTGCTATGTTGCCCAGGCTGGTTTCAAACTCAGGCTCAAGCAGTCTCCCCACCTCAGCTTTCTGAGTTGCTGGGAAATTTGATTTTATAATTTTATAAGCATTCTGTCACTAACATCTTGCCTGAATAATTGTTGTCTTAACATTAGGCCAAATACATAGGTTTTGACTTTGGGAAAAATGTAATTTGGCAATTCATAGTTTTCCTTAAATGCTTTCATCTAGGAATCATTAAAAAAAAAAACAGGTCTAATGTAGTTTGGTAATTGCTCTCTGATACCATAATAGAGTGAATAATTGAGCATAATAGCAATCAGAAATATATACATATTTAAAAACAATTTTAAATATTCATTTTAGCTAATGAAATAATATCTATAGCTTACAATATATAACTCTCATGAAACATAACATTTTGATGATTTTTATAAATTTATTTCTGTCAGACACTGAAATACAGGGATAATGCTATCCATATGGCTTATTCTTCCACCATTTTACCTCCTATAAGAGAAGTTGAGATAGAATTACAGTAAGTTTGGATACTAGCTATCTGAGTTGGACCAAAATTTTACAGGTTAAGGACATAGTCCTCTCTGAGACTACCCTTACTTTTGATGCCAGCTGCAAGTTCAGGAATCCCTAGGTCACCCAGTTATTGCTAGCTGGTTAGAAATGTGGGGGTACTCACTATCCCTTTAGTTTCAATAATATACTAGAATGACTCACAGAATTCAGAAAATGCTGTACTTGGGATCATATTTAACCCAAAGTATCAAATCAGAACCATCCAAAGGGAGAGGCACATAGAGCAAGATGTGAGAGGGTATAAATGAGAATTATCTGTTGGCCTAGAGGTACCTCACGCTCCTGATCTATCAGTGTATTTCCAGCTAGGCTAACCTGAGTTTCTTTGTCCAGAGTACTTGTTGGGGTTTAATTGTGTAGGCCTGGTTGAATCATTGTCAGTTGGCTCAGTCTCCAATCCACTTACTCTTCTTAGGTATGGCTTGTGTCACATGGCTCAGGGACCAACCTTTTTTTTTTTTTTTTTTTTTTAGAGAGGAGAGAGAGAGAGAGAGAGAGAGAGAGAGAGAGAGAGAGAGAGAGAGAGAGAGAGAGAGTTTTTAATATTTATTTTTTAGTTTTCGGCGGACACAACATCTTTGTTGGTATGTGGTGCTGAGGATCGAACCCGGGCCGCACGCATGCCAGGCGAGCGCGCTACCACTTGAGCCACATCCCCAGCCCCAGGGACCAACCTTTTAATCACAAGGTTGGTATTTTTGACATGACTGGCCCCATCTGTGCCATCTCTATTTATTATAAACTTTCTAGTGGCTTACTATGACTTACCTCATATAAACTATTAGGAGAGGTGCAAGAGACCCACCATGAATAACAAAGATACTACAGACCAATACTCCTCATAAATATAGATGCCAGAATCTTCAACAAAATATTAGCAATTTGAATCTAGCAGTGTATAAAATAATTATTAATTAAAGTCAAGAGATTTACCCCAGGAATGCAAGTTTAGTTTTAACATCTGAAAATTAATGTAATGTACCTAGTTAATAGAGTTAAGAACATGAACATCCCAGTAGATCTAGGAAAATCATTAGACAAAACCCAGTACTCATTCAGGATAAAAGAGATCAAGAAACTAGGAATAGAAGAGATCTTTATCCCCAAATAAGAAATCTGTACATACTTATTGCCAACATCATCATAATGTTTTATGACTATATGCTTTCCTCCTAAAATCAGGAACAAGACAAGAATATCTGCTTTCACCACTTCTATTCAACATCATACTGAAAGTTCTAGCCAGAGTAATGAGGGAAGAAAAAAAAAAGGCAACAAGATTAGAAAGAAGTAATACAACTAGCTTTATT